TGTGACCCGGGGCTCAACATTGTCTATTCCTAGGCTGTAGAAATTCTATATCCTACATTTTCTCTTGCTCATATCCAGCTTCTCTTAAAGATTAAACCAAGCTTCACAATTGAGTTTCATAGTCCTCATTCGTCTTATATTTCACATTTGGAAATGATTCCTGTGGCCAGAGAGATGGTACATGGTAACTGGCTTGGCCAGGATTCAGAAGTAAGTAAGGTGGGGTGGGAGTTAGGCTCATCTGAGGTACATGGGGGAGGAGAAGGTCTAAAAGTATAAATTAGAAATTTTTGAGAAAAAGGGAGAATGCTTACTAAGGAGGGAATATGTTTTAAGAAAAATAGATTCCAACAATTTTCAGAACATTTCAGAGGATACTAATACAAGTGGACAACTTTCTTTCTTCCTCTTCCACCCCTAGAGGACTTGTCAATGAAAACTTCCTTCAGAATATGGTGACTTGAGAATCAGAACATGTAGACAAAATACTATCACTCAGTATTATAAGCACCATATTAATGAATAAACAGTTTTATAAGAATGAAGAGAAAGGAATAATTAATTCCAATTTATAGGCTCCAGAGTATCTTCACAATAGAGATTTTTGAGTGGGGACTTGAAAAATGGGAAAGGTCCTTCTGATAGAGACAAAAGTGCAAGGCCATGGCTGGAGGAGTATGTGATCTGATAAGGCTGAAGTTTAGGATATGGATGTAGTGCAGTGAATTACTTAATATGGCTCCTCTAGCCATGGTCTTTGTGACTCCCACCAAATGACTACGTGGGACTATGCAAATGTGAGGTGCTTGTAGCACACTGAGATTGGATAGATTGTTAATAATGAAAATAAAGTACACAGCACCTTTGTGGGGGTGGGATCATGCAAATAATGTGTATGAGACTCTAATGTGGGGATTGGTCAGTTTTGTCATCTCACTAGGCTTGAAATAAGTCATCCCAGAGGTGGGATTGGGCAGTGTTTCATTCTGCTGTGGGGTTGCTATGAGTCGGAAATGACTCGACAGCACCTAATAACAACAAAGAGGTGGAAAAGGTGGATCTTGCTATCATCAAGAAAGAAGAGCCAGGAGTGGAGCTCCTCCTTGGACCTGAGATCACTGCAGTGAGATGGCAGAGAAACAACAGAGAAATGGCAGGGAAAGGTGACAGCAGAACCAAGAGACCAGCAGGAGACAGAGTGGCAGACTTCCTAGCCTACAGAGGGAGAAAGTTGAATGCCTTTCAGCAGGAGGCTTACTGGTGGAGTGGGTACCTCTCTGGGCACCTATCAGCAATGCTAAAAGAGCTTTGTAACACTTGCCTGAGCAGGGCAGAGGCCGAGGCCTAGAGAAGCATGCCTGCAGCACAGTTTAGAAGAAGCCATCCTGATTGAAGAATTGTATCCTGAGTTTCTGATGCTGAAATGTAACCTGTTACTTTCCTAATAAACCCCATAATCATGAATTTTGTCTGTGAATTGTGTAGCCACTGTGACAAATTATTGAACACAGCAGAGAAGAGAGTGCCATGGGAGGGATGGCTGATGTCAGATTTGGCAAAAAGGGTTGAGACTGGTGGCATGTGTGAGCTTCACATCATAGGAACCAGTGCTGGGCTGTTGATGTTCACTTCAATTCTTACTCTCTCTTGTGAAGTTAGAGGAGGTCAGATGCTTCCTCCATGTCCTTTTGGTAATGGATCAGTTGTGGGAGTATGAGAATGGAAAAATCAAGCTGTGAAGAGTTTTTCCTGCCATCTTATAGAGCCTGGACTTTATTCTTTAAGAAATGGGGAGTCATTGAATTTTTTAAGCATGGAAGTGGCACAGTCAAATCTATATTTAGAAAATGTAGAAACAGATTAGAATACTTCATGAACCAAGTGTTGGAGACAAAGCTAAGTTTTGAGGTGGAAGGCTGAGGAAGTTCAAGTCTAATTCTATTTTCTCTGTGAAATCAGAGGAGCAAGAACTTGCTGAAGGTGAGGGGGTGTTATGAGTTAAGGCCACCTCGAGATTTCTTCTAGCCAGAATGCTGCATTACAGAAACATTCTGGTCAGAAAGAGTTCAGTACACTCTTCCATAATATAAGGTTATTATTACAGGGTGGATGAGTGAATTACATTATGTCGCTGGGTGAATTAAAATCAGAAGGGCTACATACCATTTGTTTATTAGCCAATTTCACTGTAAATGCCAATGGCCACAGAATAATTATATAAGTATCACTGGTGACTCAGATCCTTGTGATCACAGGCAGAGGAGATGTGAGGCACAGGGGATGCCTCAGGAGGGTACAGGAGGAAGGAGGTTAAGGGAGGTAGAGTCAGGGGATGCAGTTAGAGATGAAGTTCCTAACTGGAGTGGGCAAGGCCACCTGAATTGCCTCAATGCAGTATTTTAAGAAGCAGCCAGAGTAGCACATGGCAGAGAGGGCTTTGTGGCAGCAGCAAAATGTGTGGCAGCTTGCCAGGTTTGGCTCTGGGATTCAGATTCAGAACTACTGGCTGAAGCTACCTGTTCCAAATGAAAGGATCTGCTACGCCGGAGTCCATTCATTTTTTTTTTTTTTTTTTAAGAAAGAGTCTCAAATTATAAAGAAAAATTATACAAATGCTAATGAGGCTGGGCATTCTTAATACAGTTACTCCTTCCTTATCAACTCTTTCATTATCCAACATTTCACATTTACAACAACAATGAAAAATCCAGTATCTGACTATTTTGCTCGTTAATGACGGATGTCTAGCAGTAATGAATGCTGAGATACTATGCGAGAATATCGCTGGTTCTGACGGTTAAGGTTACATGTCAACTTGACTAAGCCACGGTTCTCAGTAGTTTGGCAGTTATTTAATGATGCAATTTGGCAGTTATGTAATGTTTGGTAAAGTAGAAGGCTGGCAAAAAAGGGGAAGATGAGATGGACTGATACAGTGGCTGCAATGATTTGCTCAAGCTTAGCAAGGATTGTGAGGCTGTGGGACTAGGCAGTGTCTTGTTCTGTTGTACACAGGGTTGCTATGAGTGACTGACAGCACCTAACAACAACAGTTGTCCTCTGTTTTGTGATCTGATGCAGTCATTCTCCATTTTCACATAATGCTGATTTTTGCTTAATGATCTTTGGAGCCTAACCATGTCACTAAGTGAGCAGTGAGTGCATATTATCCTCTACCACTTGACCTTAAAGTGTTGTATTTAAAACTAATTTCCAACAACATCTTATATTTCCTTGCCATTTTGCAGCTTGAAAAACTTCTTTCAAATATATTTTTTTATTTGGTGCTATACACCCTTGAAAGGTAAACAGAGCAGCTATGGTTTTTTACCACCCTTGCTTTTACAAAATTACAGAGAAGAACAATTAAATTATCAAAGGACTACATGCTAGAACCAGAACTCCCTAGTCTAGCATTTTTTCTACTAGACTATTATAATGTCTCTTCTAAAAGACCTTATGAATATTCTACCAAAGAAGGAAGCTAAAGTTGGACATTCTGTACACATATGACCTTAGTCCCTTCAACACTCTCTCTCCTCCTAACACTTTTTCTTCATTTTCTCAAAGTGGGAGGAAGGACACAATAGTTCTTCCTGTGGAAGGACACAACCACAATGGCATGTGGTTGCCATCTCAATGAACATGCATTTGCACACAGAGAATGGCAAGGCATATGATTGTAACTGTATCACCTTCAAAAGCAATAAAACAGGATTTATTAAGACTCAATAGCAGAGTAAATTATTTAGTCCTCAGTAAGTCAACAAGCAGCAGATGAATAAAGACATATACTGTAGGTTCTCAAATTAATAACTAACTATACCAAACTCTACTACAGTTGCAGTCTTGTGCTAAACTTCACACTTTCCTAATATATAGGATCTAAATAAGACTTGTTAAATACATTTGGATAAAATTTAATTCTAGGCAACCCATGAGAGTATCACTCTATCAATGATTTATATTTTGTTGAAGTTATCAGTATCTTACATTTTAATCTAAAATTGAAAGATAATAGTTTTTGGACATTCCTCCACCTATTATGAATCCATCTCACAGAAAGGGTAGGCCTTTAGGAAGTAACATAAAATAATACCTGTCACTTTTAATAGAGACCAAAATAAGACTGATGTCTTGTATAACGTCTTCAGTTCTGGAATGCATGTCCAGTACCTCCTTCTCGTTTCCCTCAGCTGCTTTGCCCTAGCAGCAAATCTCCTTAAATCAAACTTCAGTCAAGGTGAGCATGGTTTTCAGTTCTTCATTCCCTAGGGTATGCTTCCAAAGTAACAGAATCTGCAACAGAGCTCAGCAGGGCCACGTCTTTTAACTGAGAGATGGAAGGTTGGGAAGCTCCAAAGGCTCATCCCATAATCCTCTCTTTTCAGAGTGCAGAATACAACACTGTCAGAGGGGGCAACTATATCTGACCTTCCCAGTAGAGACCTTTAAGGTAGAAATGAAATGGAAAGGGATCTAGATGTTTGGTGAGAAGATGCCAAAACACCAAAGTGACTTCCTACTTAAAGCATTATCTTACTCATCATCCCACCCTCCAAACGGCACCCACCCATGGCTCTGAGGGAAGAGCATTTCATAAGATAAAACAATACATTATCTAGTGATAAATTTACAAACTGACAGAAGAGAATTGTTCCGGAAGTTACATTACCTCTTCAAGTTTATTACAGTATCTTCAGTTCTTATTGCATATATTGTTACATGCCTTTTACAATCCAGGATTATATATACAGTATGCGCAATTTAGTAGAAGTTATGTCTATTGCTTCTCTTGAAAATCAGCAGCATGCAGTGCAGTATTTGGTGTGCAGTTATTGTTTCAAAAAGTGAGCTACTACTTAGGTTTAACTGCAAAGGGAACATGATCTTTATTGGCTTCTATGTATAGTTTAATTTTGGTTTTATGCAGAGTTTGCATAGTTCATGATTAGTTTCAAATGAAAAAGTAGATGTGTTGTCAGTGACCCTGAGGAAGATCAGGTGACAGTAGCAAACAGAAAAATTTGAAGAAGAGGCATAACTTTTAAAGTGGAAAGGTCAGCAAGCACTGCCTGAAACAAAAACCAAAAAGAATTATTATCATCAGTATTCCAATCAGCAAAGCAAAGTTCATAAAGTAAGGTACAACAGAGACAGCGTGACAAGTCAGCCTTCAGCACACACCCGAATTCTTCAGATGGGCCCTACATCTCTGTACTAAAGCTACACCTTTCCTGCACTTTTCTGAATTTCTCCATGTTAGTTCATGTACAAAGTGCTGAAATGTGCAGTAGAAAATAACCTGGACTTCAGCCTTCAGCCTTCTTCAAGTATACAAGGTAGCATGAGTTTATAAGAGGTCTAACATTTCAAGTTGCTTCTATAAATAAACGTACATTATGAATCGTGGTCCTGTTGTACTGGTATAAGGAGTCACTGACTTCAGGAAATCATTTTGAGATGAAACTAATGTTTATTCAGTTGCAAAATGCATAAACATCCCTTTCTTTTTTTAAAAAAAGAATGTAGGCAGCTATTTTAAGGATAAAATTTACATTTCTATGAGAGATGACAGACTAATACAGTAAGCCACTATTTAATGAACCATATTTCAGGTGTAAATTGTTCCACTGAAAAATAATTGGCTTTAAATAATTAACTGATGATTCAAAATAATCCCCAAACCTATATATCATTACTATATCATCTAAATGAATGCCATCTTACCCTCTCAACTAGGTTTTCTCTGTCCTGTGAGCATAACGTGTGGACATGAACAATAATAAGAAATGTAACATAAGCCCTGATGGTTTCTATTGAAATTACTAGGGATCTAGTTTCCTATAATGATGATAATGGCTTCCTATAGTAATCTTGTTTATGACTCCTTCACAAGCAGTTTGTTTTCATGTAACAAAGGAGTTCTGAATATTTAATACTACTTAGCTCAGAAGTTATAGGTTTTACCAAAGTTAAAAAATGAGGCTGAGAGAAGTGTGTGTCCTATGCATCTGAGACAAAAGTGCCCAAGGCTGGCACTCTTTTGGGAACTATTTCCATCTCCTTGGAGTGAAACTTATCCTTACTTCAGCTGCAGCCAGTGATGTCACCTCCATCAGGTTCACTGCTCGGAAAGCAAACACGGCAGCTGCCAGGACTGGAAAAGAATGAACACTATTTCAACTGCTGGCCTCCTCATCAGCCTGACATATTTACTGCTATGCCCACCACCAACTAGGAAAGCTCACAACAGCACTTTATACAACTGCACACCAGCATTCCGAGTTAACATCTGTGATGAATGGAAATCATCGACTCCAGAGAACAGTGCCTGATAGCTAGACAAACTGAATCCCACATTTTTGAAAAACAGGAAAATTCAATGGTCTTAAAAACTATTTCATAGATTGCTTCTTTGATATCTACAACTTAAATGATAAGGTTTTGAAATGGCCTGAAGATCCAATGACTGTCTTATAGATGAAGGTTTACTTGGATGTGGATGTTTCTTAGTAAGACAAGTGAGGTGCTTCTCGTGTGCTGTTATTGACATTGATGGTAAGCACTGATGGGTCGTCCCTAACATGGAACCCTGTGCCTTCCTGAGAATCACCCTCCCTGCTGTCCCGCAGGACAGCTTTCCAAAGATGGCACAAAGGATGAGGCCATGCCTGTGCTGGGCTCTGGCAGCTGCTTGTGGCTGAGGAGCAGAAGTCAGGAGCCAGGCTTCTTCATTTCCCCAGACAGAGGCAGAGTGCAACCAGTGACTAGGAAGCCTTTTTCTAGCGGATGACAGAATTTTTGCAGTCTGGCAAAAAAGCATTAGGATTAGTGACAGAGGAAGATTCTGGTGAGAAGAAAAGACGATAGTGGTAAAACAAAATTTAAAAGGTCAAGAAGGCTGGTATTATTCAATCTTTAATTGAAAAAGAAAACACAGATATTTTAAAGTCACTGAGTTTCATGTTTCCCCAAACCCCAAATTCACTGCCATTGAGTTGATTCTGACTGAAAAACATTTCTGAGGACTAGCAACTTTTTTATAGCTTCCAATATCTGGAATCATAAATAAATACTATGGAGATGGTTTAGAAGCTACTAGTGACTGGGGGCACTAGTTCATTTATTATTTTTTTTGTGTGTATAATTGAACAGAGTTAATGAAAGCATGACAGGATGGTCAAATTTTCTGCTGTAGCAGGAAGTAGTTTTACATGGTGGGAAATTGTTTTGCCAAAGGTAAATGTGAGGGGGTGAAAAAAGAGCAGCTCACTAATTGACCTCAGCACGCAAAACGCTCATGTGCTCAGAACCTTTATTTATCTTGGTGTCACATCACAGACGTTCCTTTCTGTTTGCTTCATGTTTGGTTTGCCCAGCCCTTCCGCAGAAAGGACTGTTTGCCAAGGAGCAAAGATCTATACTTTGGGATATTTTCAACTGAAATCATGCTTCATACGAGATTTAAAAGCTAATATCTACTTTTGGTCTTTTAAACTATTCTTCTTATTATTTGAATTCTAAGCAACTCTATCACGAACATTAAGACACCTTGCTTTAAAGAGTCTCAAATTAATTCACAATTAAAGGCAGAGATATTTACTGAAATATTTCTAAGTTCAATATAACTCAAGGAGCTCTGGTTGCACAGTGCCTAAAGCATTTGACTGCTAACCAGGAGCCTGGTGGTTCAAACCCACCAGCCACTCCTCGGAAGGAAGGTCGGGCAATCTACTTCCGTAGGGATACTGCCTCGGAAACCCAAGGGGGGGGGGGTTGCTATGAGTTGGGTCTGACTCGATGGCACATAACAACAACAACAACAACAACCTTCCAGAGAGGAGTTCTGGTGGCGTAGTGTCTAAGGCATTTGACTGCCAACCTTCCAGAGTGGAAAACCTCTTTACCCTTCAGATGACAGCTAAAAAGCCATTCTACTTTTGGAAAGTCCTAACTGTTTTCTTATGCTGAAATTTCTTCTTTATCATGCTCTGATATCTTCTTAAAATTATATTAAAAGCTATATATAATATTGTTCAAAACCCATGGAATACTCATAGGATAATTATTTGGTGAAAAGTCTAAAATCTTGTCACCTGAGAAATGGTAGCAGAAAACAAGATTACTCAGCCTAGAAAACAAAAAATTTTGCAGAGAGGCTGGGAATTCAACAGTGGAAAAAACAGATAGTGACTTTGGTTTCACAGCAGTGCATTTTAACAAGTCATATTATCTGGAAATTAAATGGGTTACATGGGGTCCAGCATAGCAACGATCCTGAGGATGGGGCACGACCGGACAGTGTTTTGTTCTGTTGCATATAGGGTCACTATGAGTTGGAACTGACTCCACGGCACCTAACAACAACAACAACAACAACAACTGGTAACACAGGAATTACACAATACTGAAGTGTTCAAACATAGGATGAAGACTACTTGTCAGAAATATTTAAAAGAAGTTACACCTGATTATTTCTATGATTCCTTCCACATCATTGCCATTTGGCCAAAAGACATGAGCACAGACTATTCTCTCCTAACTCGTATTTGTGTGGACACGAGAAAAAATTGAGAGAAGGATACTATGAGTTGTGAAAAAAAAAAAAAACAAAACAAAACCATCAGTAAGTGATGTCTCTGGTTACAGCAGTGGTGACATCTATCCTCACAGTACTCTAACATTCTCTTTCAAAATGACACCCAATTACTATAAACCAAACCCAAACCAAACAGACTGCTGTTGAGTCGGATCCGACTCATAGTGACCCTTCCTTGGGTTTCTGAGGCGGTATCACTACGGAAGTAGATTGCCCAACCTTCCTTTCGAGGAGTGGCTGGTGGGTTTGAAGCACCAGCCTCTTGGTTAGCAGTCAAATACCTTAGGCACTACACCACCAGAGCTCTTAGCATTTCAAAATATGTTAATATGATATCCAGAGAATCTTCTGCAAGAAAATGTTCTTCTACTATGCATTATTTCCACAATAGCCTAGATATGTGGGCTATTCAAGGTTATCAGTTTAAGGTAAGGAAACAAAGGCTTACAGAGGTTAAGTCGTTCAAGATCATACAAATGTAGGTTGCATGATTGACAACTTTTCTACTCTTCATCCAGGTTATTAAAACCTTTCAATGATTATTTGGATTTCCTGATAATCCCAATAATAGCAATAATTGAGTCTATGTGGCACAAGGAAAGCAGATCAATATAATTGACAAGGAATTGGGGCCCTTTTGGTTTTCTCTAGTGTAATCATACAACTGCCTTTGTGCCTATCTGTTGTGAAGGGCTTTATTAAATAAGAGGTGAGTTAGTGGCTTCCTGAAAAAACAATTAAACTTTTTTTTGGCCTAAGAGAATGTCTGAAAAGGGAAACTCAACCACAAGGACAGGAGTCAGAGATTGTTAGAAAAAAGGAACAGGTTTTGAATTCAGGGTAAATGGGCCCAGAAGAGTTGGACCCAGGTAACTGATGTCAGCTGTGCAGGGAGTCTTGGTGTCAGCCTAGATGTTAGGTAGTAGCTGAGAAGTACAGAACAGCCCACACTGTACAGAGGAATACAGAAGCATATCCACCCTCTGCTGTGCAGGTCTCACGGTGGCTGGGGACAGAAGCCTTGACTGGATTCAAACAGTGGAGCGGGAAGGAGAGGAACAGGGACTTTTCTGGGAGCCAAAAAGATTAAGAAAAAGAATAGACTGATTTTTAGCAGTTGTTGTTGTTGTTATTATGTGCCGTCAAGTCAGCCCCGACTCATAGCGACCCCTCCTTGGGTTTCCGAGGCAGTATCACTACAGAAGTAGGATTGCCCAACCTTCCTTCCGAGGAGTGACTGACTGGTGGGTTTGAACCGCCAGCCTTCTGGTTAGCAGTCAAGTGCTTTAGCCACTATGCTACCAGAGCTCCTTTTAGAAGTAACTAAATCACGGAACTCTGTATTTGTCTTCCAAGCCTGAAAAATCTATTATATGTTCCTGCGTTAGAAAGGATGTAACTGCAGACTCAAACTCAGATCACAGATGGTGAAAGGAAGTAAAGGGCCTTACTATAGAAACAGTATGTGTTTTACAAACAAACATGTACTCTTACCAGCAAGGATTTCCAAAGAGTTGTATCCTAAGATTCTATCCCACAAAAGCAAAAGTTGATCCGTAGCTAAGTATCCAGAGAAAGCTCGAACCATCCACTTAAATGATATGCGAAGTCTGTAAGCAAGGAGAAAGGAAAGCAAATTTTGTCAATAGATGTTTTTCTTTCAAAAGGCAATATCAAAAAAGCACCACCAAATCTATTGTTAGGGTAACTTCTTTTGAGAGTCTTCGAAGTCACATGGGTATTTAAATGTCAAGTACTCTTAATTCTAGGCAAGCCATAACAATTTGAATTTTTATCCAAAATATTTGAAAGTGTGTGATAGTTTTATAATTTTCCAATTCAGTAAATTCCTACATTTTAGCTGAGTGGCTAGTTAGAATGAATAAAACAAAACAACAAGTATGAGGTTTTGAAGGATAAAGAAAAATAGTTTTAAAACTATAAAGAATTTTAGAAATACATCTCTGATATTAAGTCCTCCCTTTTAGAGAGGAGGTTATCAGAATTTCAAAAGATCAACCAGCAAGTTCAACCTGAGGCGGTATCACTATGGAAGTAGACTGCCCAACTTTCCTTCTGAGGAGCAGCTGGTGGGTTTGAACCATCAGCCTTCTGGTTAGCAGTCATGTGTCTAGACACTATGCTACCAGAGCTCCTTATGAGGTATGAGATCCTCTTATTGATAAGTAGGTTATATTACAATAATAATTTGTCTCTGGAATTAGGAAACTCTCTGGCTCCATGCCTTAAGAGATGAGTAAGTCCCTTGAAGTTTTGCATTACCTATTAGCATCTAAATGGACTTCACTGTCCTTGAGACTCTAACAAAACTCTTTGCTAGAATTGCTGTGAGATTATGTGGATAAATCTCTGTGTTATTTTCTTAAAAGAGAGAAAGGGATCCAGACATTGCCTTTGTTGGTGCCATTGGATTAATTTTCTTCAGACTGAAAAAATATGCCCATATTTTAGAAATTCCTCAATACTGGATAACTATTGTTCTAACAAACTATATGGAGGTACAATAACTCACAAAACTCACTGCTGTTGAATCGACTCAACTCATAGTGACCTTTCCTTGGGTTTCCGAGGTGGTATCTCTACGGAAGTAGATTGCCCAATTGTCTTTCTGAGAACTGGCTGGTGAGTTTGAACCACCAGCCTTTTGGTTAGCAGTCAAAAATGCCTTAAGAGATACAATACTACTAACAAATTACACTTTTTAGTTGGTTTTAAAGGTATTTTTATGATTATAAAAGAAACTTTGTGTCACTGGATATTAATACTTAAAAAGGTGCATTTGACTTTTAGTCTAAATTATTAATTTCAACTAGCTTCATTTTACTAGATTTCTCATAATAATTTATTAGAATAATAGGACTACACCACCCTTACCTCCAATATATAGATAGAGTACCATCAGTTTTTTTAAAAAATGCTTTTATTGAAATATAATTTATGCACAGTGAAATACACAAAACTAAAGGAGCTCTGGTAGCATAGTGCCTAAGGCACTTGATTGCTAACCAGAAGGCTGGCGGTTCAAACCCACCAGCTACTCCTCAGAAGAAAGGTTGGGCAATCAACTTCTGTAGTGATACTGCCTCAGAAACCCAAGGAGGGGTTGCTATGAGTCGAGTCCGACT